GAGAATGGAACTGATGATGACCGCTTATTCTACACAGCACAAAGTAGGGAAGATCATTAACATGAGATGGAACAACATCGTGAGACAAGACCAGTTACTATTTCTGTTAAGCATCTATCTAAGCAACCCTCTCATCTTACAGATGAGGAAACTGAGGCCCAGAGAAACAGAGTGGTTTGTCTAAAGTCCCCAAGCAAGTTGGTAGCACAGGAGTTGCTTCGGAGCAAGGCTTCCAGAATCCCGATCCACTGTTCTGCTTCCCTATGCATGTGAAGCCAAGGACAGGGCTCTGCTCCCTCCACTAGCAGCCATTTGCTTCCCTCCAACACCAAGAGATGGCCCTGTCCAAAGTAGCCATGCCTGGAAAGATTCTCCACTCTAGGAATTACAGATGCTCTAATGAAAAGTCCTGAAGCCAAATCAGACCCACTCAGATCTTTTCCTTTTCCAACACTTCCCTCATGACCTTTGGCCTTTTAAAACCATCCTCTCTTGGTACCTGTGAAACACCCTTTGTCTAAGGAGCATCAATGAAGCAAAAAGACATAGAATATAAAGACCAGACAATCTGTATTCACATCAAAAGACAGTGCTTTGCCTTTCGAAGGGTACCCTCTGAGAAGCTCCCTGCTGGCTTAAGCTAGATAATACATAGGGAGGCACTGGGCATGGCAAGTAGTAGGTGCTCAATAAATATTGGATGGGTCTGAATTTGCCTCCAAATTTGTAGCAGAAGAAGCTGTGAACACATGATTTTCCCATTATATTCTATTGTCTTGATGCCTCCTCCGGATCCTGCTTCTCTTTCCTCTTCTCTGACTCTTGTGGCTGCCTGGTTTCTAGTGATAAGGATAGACAAGCTTTTAGGGCTTCTTTTACCACTTGTGGGTGTGCTGGAGTCATGTTCTTGCTTTCTTAGATATCTGACCCTGCTATGCAGGGAGGAGAGGGGAAGACATGGAGCCCTACTGGGGTGCAGGCTGATGTCACACCTGGCCTGCAGTGAAGGTGGCTGCCACGATGGAGGTCCCCACCTGCTGTTATGGGTTGCTCTGTGAGGCTGGGTCAGCTCCTGGAATTGCTGCTGGACCCCCAAAAGAGAATTATTTGTTCCCTGCCCCACTGCACAATGAAGCAGGTGTTATATTGCATCTTGAGGCAACTGGGGTCTCTCCACCTCATCCACCGAAGTCTTATCTCATGAACAACCTGCAGGGGAGGTGAGCTCGGAAAGTCTCATCCAAACCGGGGAGAAAGCACAGCCAGCATGACCTCGCCCTGATTCCTCTAGGGCTGCATTCTCCTTTCAACAGTGCAAGGAAAATTCCAAAACAAAGAATGGGGTGAACAGTGAGAGAAAGAGAATTAGTGGCAAATGAGAAGGAAGTAAGGATGAAAACACAGGAGGGAAGAAACATGACAATGTTTCCAAAAAACCTACAAGTCTTTGGAAAGACATTTGAGAATAAACAAAGCTAAACCATGTGAACCTGAGCCTTTCATAGCCTTCTAAGGGGGAAGAATCTGACCCCCGACCCACTTCATTCCTGGCGAGGTGTATTGCATAGGACAGAATACCAAAGGATTCCTGAGAAAACCTGAAACTACATAAAAGAGAACCAGGAACTGGTCTCTCCTAGTTTAGTGTAACTTAATTCAAAACCAGGGAGACTTCTTTGTGAAAGGATCACTGTCAAATTCAAGGCAACAGAGTTCTTAGCCGGCTGAATTTCATCTTCTGGGCATTGCATCTGTCCGCTCCTGAATTCTGATATTCCATCAAACCATGGGATCATTACAGAAAGGGCTTTGCAGATGAGACAGGCAAAGGGAAATGCCAGCGCCAAATGTGGTATCTTCTTTGGTGGGTCTGCTCTACTAAAGCATGCTTTTACACAGCCAAGAGAACGTGGGAAACAAAGACGCTTGCTACAGGATGCTTGATGATATTTTGATTTGATAGAACACACACGCACTCAGCATCTTGACTGATGCGACCTTGGTCAAGCAATCTGATGTATTTGGGTCCTCACTTTCTTCACCTCCAAAGTGAGGACTTAGTTGGGACCACTTTCCATCTTCAAATGTTCCACACACATTAACTCCAGGCACTAGGAACACATTTGCCCTTGGAAAGTAAAAAGCTGGGGGCAGGGGTGAGACACATAACCAGAGAATAATATAATACTGGAGAACAGAGGTAGGGCAGCTAACATTAGAATTCTCCATCTATCCGTGATGCATGGCGTGTGTGTACCCATGCTCCTTATACAAACAACGACTGTCTCATTCCTTTGGGAAACCAGAGATGTAGCTGTTTACCTTGTCTAATAGTTCAGGGGTTCAAATAGAGTCAGTATATCCCACTAGTTTTAGACTCTGTACCCTCTGAAAACAGGGACCTATGCTTCAATTACATAACACATCCCCCTAACCACATCTAGGAAAACAGCTCATTGTATCTGCATTCGATTGGGAAAGTTTTAAATTAAGCCAGAATGAAAAACTGTAACACTGCCTTTTGTGACATACAATAACAGGGCATATAGTTAAAAAGTTAACAAGGGATTTATAACTATAACACACGAAAGCTGTTTTTAAAAAGGGTAGGGAATTAAAACTGCAATATTACTATGATTTATTTCTAAACTTCAGTTAGAGTAATGTGTAAGAATTTAAAAATATGTGCTAATTCATAAACAGAGGCTACTGAGTCATGGGTAAGCATGGCATTAAAATCACTCCAGCACTGAGTGAGAGGCTTGGTCCCCAGCACAGCTGTACAATTCATCAATGTCAGGGCAGCTTGCTCCCTGATGATCCAGCTGACTTCCCATGCACTGAATTGGAAGCGTGCACTGCCATGTCAGGACGTCCAAGCACTTCAAAGCTGCCCCTTTCAACACTTGGTTTCTCCTCATAATTACTTCTTGCGTTTCCCTCCTGATACTCATTTAAATGCTAAATAAGGGGAGAGAGTTCTCCAAGGCCAGAGACTTGCCGCTGTAACCTGGAGCAACCTCAGAGTGAAATTAAAATCAATTATATCCCACGTGGGTATAATTATGGTAATTTAATGAGTAGGAATATAGAATGACTGTCTTCTGGGAAACAAACATACTTTGTTATGTGAGTGTGACAGGTACTGTTCAGCACTCAGACCATTTCCAGAATCTGATTCTCAGGTTCAACAAATGGGGCTTGCAGAGGCTCAGGAAGCTCCAAGACAGCCCCAGGGCTGATGACAATGCAAGGGACATCATCTCCCTTTCCAAGGAGGTCACAACCCTTTTATCGCTCAGCAGGGAATACAGATGTGACTCCGGGCAGAGAATGTGGCAGCTTCAAGGGTATGTGTGACTTGACTAAAGGACATGGTGCTGTCACTGCTGTGGCCAGCAGAGGAGGGACAGCCTGAAGGAAGCCTGAGGTCAGCCAGGACCTGCTCTGATGGTGGTCCTGGCTGTGGTCACTTTGTCAGAGCGTCACGTTCCCCAACCACCAGCATCACCGGTGCTACCTCCCTGTGTGTCTACTCCACAGCTCAGGGTGACTAGCGCTGAAAATATTCAGAAGGTGCATCCTTAATAAACCAAACATCTGTCTAGAATATTCTGGAAGAAGAGCCATACCAGTGTGCCTCTGTGTGACTGTGGCCTGAGTGAGCTGTGAAAGATTCTGGGCTGCAGATGGGGAAGATGAAGGGCAATGTCTCCAGGATCTTCCAGCTCCTGGTGCTTTCTGGAGTCACAGCGCAGGTTGTGGCATGCCCTCCTCAGCTCAGGAGGCAGCCACCAGGGCCTGAGTCTGTGCTCTCCCTGTGCCCTACATGCCTGCATTCCTGGAACCCTCTGAGTCAGAGACTGGTGCTTCTCAAAAGTGACCTCAGATCACCTGAGTCAGAATATCACCTGGATTGCCGGTGAAAACACAGACTTCTGGGCCCCAACTCAGATCTACAAACTGGAATGATGAGAAGAGCAGGGGGGTGGGGGCAGGAATCTGCATTTTAAGCAAATATGCCTTAGGGACCTTCATGCACTATGCACTTGAGACTTAGAACCCTGGAGCTCACATAGTCATTTGTGCAGCACGAACGGGCATGGGGGTGGGTGGGGGGACTTCACTTTTCCCAGAGAGTTTGCTGTTGATCCAGAATGGTTCTTCCTCTCTCCCCCCCCACTCTCTTTCTTCATCATGGGCTGGGCCAGGGCACGTGAAGGCAGCTAATGACGCCTAACACACAGAGCAAACCTCACTTCACCCAGCAAACATTTGTCTAGTTGAGGAGATAGACATCTGAACAAATAACACAAAACCCTCTGTGAAACACGCTGTAGTAAAGGCAGGTTCAAAGTGTTCCAGGGCAGGGTAAAAGAAGCGATCCATTCGGAGGAGCAGATGGGAGGGGCTCTGAGTCAAGGTCAGAGACAGCTTCAAAGAAGTGGCATTGAGACGAGCCTTGAAGGAAGGGCAAGCATTTGTCAGATTGAGAAAGATGAAAAAGGCATTTAAAGCAGACAGCCAGGGAGAGTGATACAAGTTTGAGACATATTTAGGGACAAGTCTGGCTTGGCCCCAAAACAGTCAATATGATGATGGAGTTACTACCATCACTGGTTTTGACTCTACCCTCAGACCTGCAGAATGAACTCATTTCTCCAGGGAATCTTTTGGCTACTCCATAGTTTAGTTGAGATTGGAAAATGTGTAGTGCTCTTGCTCTGAGCACATGGCTGCTGTTACTTTTTTTTTTTTTTTTTTTGAGACGGAGTTTTGCTCTTGTTACCCAGACTGGAGTGCAATGGCGCGATCTCAGCTCACCGCAACCTCTGCCTCCTGGGTTCAGGCAATTCTCCTGCCTCAGCTTCCTGAGAAGCTGGGATTACAGGCACACACCACCATTCCCAGCTAATTTTTTGTAGTTTTAGTAGAGACGGGGTTTCACCATGTTGACCAGGATGGTCTTGATCTCTTGACCTCGTGATCCACCCGCCTCGGCCTCCCAAAGTGCTGGGATTACAGGCGTGAGCCACCGCGCCCAGCCCTGTTACTGTTCTTAATGTGGGGTGAGCTGAGGACTAGGGCTGTGAAAGGCTGGGCCACGACATGGCCAGAGGAGCCCATGGAAGCAGGCTCCCACGTGGGCTGGGGGTAAACCACAGTCCTTGGACAAGGTGTCAGGTTTCCCTCTGTTCTCTGCAGGGACAAATGTATTGTTTGAATCCAACAGCTATCAAATAGCCCATGACACCCCTCCCCAACCTCTGGTGCCTGCCACTTGTTCACCACAGGCATGGCTTAGCTGAATGTTTTGACCTTTTAAAAATAATACTTGTAAGATGGATATCTGAAAATGGGCTGGGAACAATGATACCCCTTCAAAAGCTGGAATCCCACAGTTCCTGCAGTGGTGGGGAAAGCCACACCAAGACACTAAATAGGAAGTCAAGGAACCCGGGTTCTGGTTCCAGTTCTGCCATCTGGGAGGCAGCTAGGTGACTCTGGGCACATCTGTTACCTTTCAGGGTGTCTTCCACTGTGCCATGACTAGATGATCTCTAAGGCCTTGTCTAGCTTTAAATGTATCATTCTACTGGATTACTATTCAAAGCTGAAGTATCTGATTGATACCCTTACTATGATTACTATTCCTGCATCACCAACAGACTAGGGAATTGTACAAGGCAATCTTGGAACATCACAAGGACAGTCACAACCTTGCTGCTTATTGTAATGTCAACCCATAGCATGTTTTTAGTGGTGTGCTGGAATTGGCTCAAAATGTGTGTGTTTCTTCTCAGCTAATTCAGTAACATCATATCTGTAGCCTGGAATCAGCCACGGTAGGAGAACAGGATTGTCCATTCGCCTACCCCTGCCCTGAAGGGAAGACATTCCTGCTGCTGAATGTCAGCACTATTAGCAGCATACCACAGGTTATGATGCCTCTAAGAGGATCCATAAAATTGATGCTTAGAAATCAAATAGTATTTTAAGTGGTTGTTTATGATTTTAATAATGATTTTAATAATTTTTAGAAGCAGTCTAGTTAAAAAATGCACTGAGGTGTTTAAGGTCAGAATTGTTGACACATACTTTAGATACAGTAAAATTCACTCACGTTAAGCACGCGTTTCTGTGAGTTTTGACAAATGCGCAAAGTCACGTAGCCATGGTAGGACTGCACGTCCTTGTTCCATTTGAAGTTAGGATGGTCAAGTGGCATTTTTGGCCAATGAAATGGAAGTAGCGATGGGTGTCATTGTGGGGCAGGAGCAGCGGGGTCACAGAAAGAGGACGACACTGGGCAAAGATCATGATCATCCTGCACAGGGCGTGTCACATGGGTAAGAAATAAATGTCTGATGCTTTGCCACTAACATCTGGGGTTATTTGCTATTGCAGTCTAACCTGGCCCATCCTCACTGGGACATTCATGATTGTGGATTCGTTGGCTAAAATGTGATGCAAATAAAAAGCCTAACTCCTTTAACATACTATTCAAGGTCCTTCACATGCAAAAAGTCTCAAACTCCATCTCTAGTTTTGTTTCCAGACCTCCTGGTATTGTAGCCGTATTGGGTATTTGAAATTCCCTGAATATATAACAGCAGTAACAACTAGTACTACTAACATTTACTGAGCAGCTAGTATGTGCCACACACTATTCTAAACACTTCACACATACTGTCTCAGACGAAGTCCCACACCTCTGCTCCCGTGTTCTTTACCTAGTAGCATGCCCTTCTCCCCTTCCTTTGCCCTAAAATATTCTACTTATCTTTTATGATCCAATTTAAACATCGTCTCCTTTTTGAAGTGTCCTAATGAGTTGTTCCACCATTAAGCTCTCAGAGCATTTTGTGCAAAATTTACATTATGCAATTATGATTTGTCTACTTCTGTGGACTCTACCTACCCTGCCCCCACAGCCAGAGTTGCACCCACTGAGGCATTTATATGAGCTGGAGACTTTGGGCCGGGAGGGAAGGTATGAGGCTATAAGTCAGGATGAGTAAGGGCAGCATTTTGGGGTGCACAAGGTTTCCACATCAATTCCGGAAAAGCTGGCTAGAGGAATCAACCGTGATAGCGTTTTGCTCCAAAGGACCCAAGCAAATCTTTTAAAATGGAATCCTCTTATTGTAGCTCATTAGTGGATGGATTTGGATTTAGCCTGGGTAGGCCTTGATCTCTCTACGAAATCCAAACCACCTACTAATAAACCCTGGCATGACCTAGTTAGGTTTTCATGTTGGGGATAATATGGGTGGTCCCTGCTTCCAGAATTTAATCATGCTTCTTTGGTACAAGCAGGATTGTGTGAAAATGAGCCTAAGTGTTCACTCTGAATTATCAGGTTGAAGTGCTATGGGGTGGGGGGTCCTAAGGGGGTCCTAAGTCTCTCTCAAAGCTGGAGGGGCTCCTCTTCCCATGGGACAAGTGGTGTCCTCCCCCAGGGCAACGGCTTGAGTCCCAAGGTCTCCAGGTGCTGTGTGCTCGCTTTCCCAGACAATTCCTGTAAACAGCTGACACCCACATCCAGGCTGCCTGGTGCCAAAGTAGTTTCATTATCTCCCCACTAACGAAGTGCTCTCCCACTTGCCCTACAAAAAGGGAGATTATGGGGGTGGGATTGGGGCTGGGGGAGGGCATGTTCCTCCCTGGACCACAAATCCATCCCGCAGAGTGCAGCTGCTTCAGCAGCCCCCTCCATTCTCTTATCTGGCTGACCCTGACATTGTCAGTTTCTTTTCCTCAATAAAACCTAGTCCAAGGCCTAACCCCTATTGTGAGATGTTGTGGAATTTATCCATTAGCAGATAGCAGGTGGCAACTTAGAATGAACTCATCTTGCAGAACAATTCCCCGCCAAAAGCGGAAGCAACATTTGTTGCTTGTCAACAACCAGCTAGCATTTTACAGTCTGCAAAGCACATTAAGAAACGTAAATTTGTCAGACCCTCAAAAGTCATGTGAAATAGAGACAGCTTTATTTTTATAGGTAAGGAAACTGAGGCTGGGGAAGCACAAGCACTGCATGAGGTCCCACAGGGAAAAAGCAGTGGAGTCAGGATGAGAACTGCGCTTTTCTGACTTCTCATCACTTGCTACCATGCCACACTGCTCTTGCTTTCCGGGACAGAATGAATGTGACCACCATCTACTCTTTCACTATTCCTATAAAATGTTTCATGCTATTGACAATTCAGCTTTATATCAAATTATATTTGCACAGTAGAGCACGCACCAGCCAACCATGGCGAGTCTTGCAGAGAATGGGGAAATGTAATTCTTCCTCAACAGAGACTGAACAAATAAAGAACACTTTCAGAAAAATTTAAGAACAAGTCAATGGGGTAGGTTTCTGTGTGCCACCTGATCTGGCTGATGAAAATTCAGTGACCACAGAGGCACACACAGAGGCAAAGGGAGCAGGAGAATATAGAGTACTGCAGGTGTCTGCAGGTATATTACAGGTGTGTTGCAGGTGCACTACAGGGTGAGGCTTGGGTGAGGCAAGTGAGCTGCAAAATTTAAGGGGTACTCACTCTTAGGTGCCGGCTCTGCCTTTGCACACCCCCAAGAGTAAGTGCTTCCTTAACTTTTGCACCCTATACCCTTCCCTTCCTTCATCCAAGGCTCAGCCTGGGGATACTGTGTATTCTCATCCAGGAGCCAATAGTCTATCAGATCCTGAGATGCAGTAATGAAAGCCATGTCTCCAGAATCAGAGCAGAAGCAAACTAGAAATAAAATAAAGTTGGATCCACACTGCCTTGCTCACACAGTCCTAACTATATAATTTGTGGGGGCCTGTGCAAAATAAAAATTCATGTTCTTTTTTGTAAATGATTAAGAACTTCAAGACGGCAACAGCAGGCCACTAAATCAAGTGTGGCCTTTCTCAGTGCAAGACCCTGCAAGGCCACACACATATGAAGCCCGCCCAGAGCCCTAAGGATCCTGCTGCTCTCCATGGGTGGTGTGGTGGTCCTGAAGAGCTTCCTTCTTCAGCCAGATTTACGCCTATGAATATGCATCAGGTTGCCTAGGAGATCACCTCTAGGAGGTCTATGAGATGTCACATCTGTGGCTGCTAAAAAAGCCCTGGAATGGGATTCAGAAGACACAAGCCCTGGGTTTGGGCCTGTCTCGGATGCTAATTAGGTTGTAAGATGAGGGCTTAATTACAGAATGCCTTCACACCCTAGTTTCCTTGGTGGGACTGGCTTCTAGCTTTGAACCGCCAGGTCATGGACTTGCAGGGGCTCATGATTATTATATGTGGTTGGAGAATTCCTTATATTTGGAATAAATACAACTTCCCAAAATTATTTCTCTCTTCTTCATGTATATTTTAAGAGGTAAATATATTGTGATTTATAAAAATACAAATTTATTTTTAAAACATTGTTGAATTTACAACAGCTCTTTATCAACTATGTCATTATTTCAATCAGTGGATTAAAAGAAAGCAGTAAGAGGTAGTTTTTGGACTTCTGCACTTCTGTACCGTTTCTCCATGACTGGCGACACATGGCTCTCAAACAGGCAGCTGTCTGTGCACCACACTTAATCATAGCATCCGTCCGGGGTCCTAATGCCATTACAAGCTGACAGTTCACCCCGAACTTTACCTGCCTTGATATCACTTATGTACTGAGTTGCTGTTTTCTGAGCACCTTCCATGTTCTAGGTACTGTTCTCAGCATCGTAACAGACAAAAATCTCTTCCAGCCCCCGTCCAGGTAACTTGTACTATTTACATCTATTCTTACTTGTGTGGATAAAGCAAAAGTTAAGGTAGTTGAGGGGGGGTGATGTTGCTTCTCTGTCTTTCTTATTTATTATGGTATAAGAAGTAATGAAGTAATGTACCTGCCATTCATCTGATGAATACATCTGTATTAGTTTTCTGTGGCTGTAACAAATTACTACAAGTTTGGTGGCTTTAAACAAGGCAAACTTATTCTCATACAGTTCTGGAGGCCAGGGGTCTGAAATCCGTTTCTTTGGGCTGCAGTCGAGGGCTTGTTCCCTCTGGAGCTAGGAGAGAATCTGT